AGTTGGCAGACATTCATAGCTGTAATATGCAGTCTTGGAAGACTACCTGTTTGAATTCATAAGCTCTCAGTTTGTTGCCGGTGATGGGAGAAAAGTTGCCAGCACATGTGAGGTTGTTGGGGCTGCAGAGTGGGCAGGGCAGCTCCAGCTCAAGCCGTGGTGTCTGGCCGAGGCGTGAGGCTGCACCTGCCTTGGGGAGCACCCAGCTTCAGAATGCAGCAGGCTTGTACCTACCAGGAGCCAACAAGCACTGCCACTTGTACTGCTGCAGGTGTCATTGCAGTGAAGTGTGCCTGGCAGTGGTGTCCTGTCCCCACTGCAAAAGCTGTACTTGAGTATCTGCAAGGAGTTGAGATGATGTTTACAGTTTTGCTATGCTATGCTTATGGTTAGAATGCAGTTATCTTCTTCTTCTGGTGCGTTAAACTGTTTACGTAAATCATACAAATAAAGCGTTCAAAAAAAATGGTGCTTTAAATAGAATAATTTAAATATGAGGTAATTGTATCCCAATTTACACCCTACACCCTCTTTCCCCACTGGGCAGCAGCAGGATTTAATCACTGCATTGAGAAAAAGCTTTTGTTTTTTGGGGGATGTTTTTAGTTTTCTATTGTATGACTGGTTTTGTTTGTTTGTTTGTTTGTTTTCTTGTTAAGGTTCATTTTCACCGGTTTTTAGCTACGACTGATACCACTGTCCATGACTGCCTGGTCTCTACATCAGTGAAAGGAACACTGGGAGGCTGTGTGGGAGGGCCGGCACCTGCCTTTGGGCTCAGCTCAACAGGCATCACTCTGTGACACTTTACTCAGGGTCTCCAGGCACCTTACAGTTTCCCCAAAGGACAAAGAGAATTTTCATACACCACGGAACAGTGCACCAACCTGGTTTTCCAGAAACACTTTTTTTCTTCTATAGAATATTCTTCTGATGTTGACAAGTGTATAAGAGAAGTTATTTTTCTGAGTTTTTATATTTATGTAACATAGATAATGTGTTCAGACACATGTTCCTGTGCATTTTTTTGTCTAAGTCCAGTTGAACTGAATATTCCTTACCAACTTCACTTGATTTAATACTGAACTTGCTGACATGTGGCATCAGCTGTTGTGCCATTGGCTGGTGGCATGATTTTTAGAAAATAAACTGGAAGGCTTTGACTGTGGTGTCCTGCCCCATTCCCAATGTCAGCAGGAACCACAGAGGGGAAGGTGTGTAGGTACGCTGCATCCCATCTGTGCCACTTCTCAGTGTCTTCCAAAGGAAGAGAGAACTTGTGTCCTGGAGGTGGTGCTGACCATGCCACTAAGCCAGGGTTGATGGGCATCAGGAAAGGTAGGGTGGCATGGAAGCAAGGGGCCGTCACGACACTGGTGGCTGTCTCTAGTATAGGGCAGCATCTTTTATGGCTTTCCTCATTCACTTCTCCAGGTCAGGAATACACAATCCCATTAATACTGAGTGAGCTGTACCATGATGCCCAGTATGAACATTTTGGTGTGTGAGAAAGATGGACAATCCCTGTTTCCATCCTGTGGTTTTATGCTGTCAGGACTACTTAAGCCTCTCTGTTCCCTGCTTCATGTTACTCCCAGCCTTATGCTGTGGTAGCATAAATATTTGTGCAGGTGCACAATGAATCAGATGGTGAACTGATGAAGATGAAAACAAAAACCCCTTTTCTGTATAGATTCTTCCTTCTCCCCCCTGACTCTTGGATCAGTTCCCTAGTCTGCTTTCCTGTGTGGCTGCACCAGTCACCATGCGAGCACCACATGGGCAGCAGCAGAGGACTCAGAGCTGTGTGGCAGGCAGGTGGAGGCAGGAAAGAGTGCTTTAACTGGCACTTCTGTCTAGGAAAGTCAGATAGATCCACAGCCTCACAATTAGCAGAAAATAATAAACCCAGCTCGTAAATAGATTGGATCAAGTGATTAAAACCACAATATTTTGATTTGCATAAACTTGTTTTCCTATTAGTACCAGGGCATCTATTGCTGGGGGCAGGTAGATTCTCAGTAAATTAAAACCTAAATTGCATGTAACCTTCCCTACATTGTCTGTTAGTACCGCCCTTGGAACTGGTCAGGAGTCCTGAAAACAAGAACCAAACAAAGGGAGCTTAGCTCTGCAGGGCTGTGCTCATGCCTTACTCCAGCTAGCTCCTGCCTAAAGCCCTTCATCTTAGGAGGCTGGAGGCCTCTGCCAGCTCCAGCAATATGACCTGAAGAAGTGAAGTGATGCTGGAAGGGCTCAGTCTCCAGCTGTATTGCTGGTCTGTGGTTGAGGGCCCTGGGGAAGCATGGCAGGGCCAGGGCTACACACCACAGAAAGTAGCCCCCCAGCAACCTTGTTCCTCCCCATGCTGCCTGGTGGTATTGTAGGTTTGGGATGGGTAGTTTGGGATTGCTGGAGAACCTGAGCCTTTTGAAGCTCCCTGGTACATCCTGCAAGGTGGGAGGTAGTGCATGAACTGGCACTGGAACCAGCTGTGCTAAATCCTGCTGGTTAGTTCTTCCATCTTGGACAAAGTTTCCCTCCCCTTGTTTGAGGCTCTTAGAAGTGTTTGCAGAAGGTGACTCTGGTTTCTGCAGACTGGAAGCCCTACTGTGGATCTTAGAAGACATGCTTTTTTTTCTTTTGGACAAACTGTGTTTCAACTGAAATGTATTACTTCCTTTTCTGTCAAACCAGGTCATGGGAACTTTACGCTGGACAGTCAAGCAGGAGGTAGCACTGGGCTGGAAGCCCATCCTCCTGTGTGGAGGATACCACACATACCTCCCCTGTGGCTGGTATGGCTAGAGGACACCTCTAGCACACCTATTGCTGGAGGAAAAAGCTGCAGTGTATTGTCACAAAGTGTACAGTAAGATCCAAAACTAAAACCTGGAAGGGGGAGCCAGGCTCCAGTTTGCAGAACTAAAGTATTCCTGCTGGCATCTGTTTTTCCCACCCTTCCTGTAGGGAACCAGTGGCTGGTGGGCGACCTCTTGTTGGTGCCCGCACAGGGCAGGCGGTCCAGCGCAGGCGGATTCTTTCCGGGAGCCATGTCCTCCACCTTGGCCAGCTGGCAGCAGCCCCTGGCTCTGTGCCTCTCCTGCTCCCTGCTCAATTTTTGCAGCTTTGGAGCCTCGTTTGGGGGCTGAAGCACCGCAGAAGAAGTGGTGCCAAAATGGTGCCTTTTGCATGTTGTGCAGTCCTGGTGCGATAGTAGCCGTGGTTGGTGGCTGGGGTTCCTGGGCACCATGATAACAAATATAACCCTTATCATCAAACTGAGCATGTTGTCTAACTGCTAGTTGTGATTTTAAAGTATTTTTCGTTATGTTTCTTAAGGACTGTGCCGTGCCATGTTTCTTGGATCTGTATTTTCAGTGGTGTTATGTTACTCCGAGCGTGGGGGCTGGAACGAACAGAACAGCCTGCAAGTGGCTGTATCCCCTTGGGAGGGTAGAATAAGTTGCTCTGGCTGGCTCGTGGGTGTAGATGAGTTACATCTGTGGGGTGCCTTTTGGTCCTATGGAATTAAATGTTCTCCCGGTTTGTTTTGCTCATGTAAGTTATTAAAGGATGTCATCTCTCTTTGTGCCTTATGTGAATGAGGTGCCGCAGCCCTGTTGAACAGAAATGCATAAACCATCTTCAGGTTTTGGAGAAGATTTCCCTGAATGAAACCAAGTGAGAACCTTAAACTGGACAGTATTTGTGTGCATTTAAGTGTGGACAGTCTAAGCCATCTCAGTGAAGTATTCTACTGAAACATTTGTAATACCTCAAGGTAACAAGTACATACATATACAGGTGAACTGGGTCTAGACTTTGTCCTGATGTTGTGAACAGATCTTGCTGTTTAAGGTGCCATACAGCATAAAGATTTTGATGAAGAAAATCATGTTCAAATCGGAGTACAACTGATAGCTTCATACACAGATATTCTGTACTGCCAACCTTTATTGTAAACTAGCTTTTAATAGCTCCAATTAATTTTTGATTAATTTTTTAAAAATCAAAATTATTCTCAGACCTCAGCAAAAAATAATACAAGTTTTTGTTGAAAACAGAAACTGTCAATACCCTCGTGCCTTGCCTTATTTTTCTCTCCAAATTTTGTTTTTACTAAAAATTGAGTTCTTGAAAAACGCTGTTTTTTCATAAAGCAACTGATTCTTGAAAATGCCTGAAACAGGCCCCTATTCCACTGCATGCTATTGCTGAAAATTTTATGTTTTCAAATAATAGGAAATGAGATTTCCAAACATCTCCAAATTCTTTGAAGTTTTTCAAGTTTATAGACTATTTCTAAAAATCAAGGGCACAGATTCATTTTTGCAGGGGTTTTGCGTTTTCATTTTGCGATAGGTTCTTTTAATTACATTCCAAACAAATTACCATACTGAAATCTTTCTGTGTGTCAAGATATTAAGAGTAACACAGCATAAGCCTCTTCCATTAATATTCATTGTGATATTTCATAATGGTATCTGTTGAGCAGCACTGATTGAATTTAGAGAAATTGTATTGTTTAAAATCCTTTTCATTAATATATTAAACTCTCATAGCATAATATTGAAATCAGTTTGTATACAGACATTTGATTTTACTTCTCTAGCCTTATCCAAATCAAGAGACTTTTTGCATTCGTTAATGTCATGTTAGGGAAATTTGGACTCAAATTTGTTGGAATGCTGTATTGTGGTAGCTGCAAAAACTGTACAGATTTCAGAAATTATTGGTGAGACTTCAGTGTATTACAAATTAATAAAAAGTTATAGAAGATGTTATTTATATTGAAGTACAAAATAAATACTGGATTTTCTTTTAAAGAGGAAATTGTTTGAGGGATTTTGACTGTTAGTGAATCACTCTACTGGGCTTTGTGGTTTTAAAGCGAGAATGTACACACTTTAAAGCATTTAAATTTTTTTCTGTCCCATTTCACTATCAAAGGCTCTACACAAACAGAGGAAACAGGCAGATGAGTTGGTCTATGGGAGGAAATAGTTAAAAGCAGTGAAGCACAAGTGCTATCAAAGACATAAACAACCTCTAAAAGTAACGTTCATTTTAACATCATCAGCGTACTGTTTTTAAATGTTTCTTGTGGCTGATGCCAAAGAAAGAGGCGACTATGCTATTTACTGGAAGCTGAGGTGTTTTGTCAGGTTTTGTTTGTTTGTTCATTTGTTTGTTTGGGGTTTTTTTGCCTTTTCTTGTCTGTATCCTTCGAGTTGATCGGGAAGCTGAAGGGAGGCTAAAGCCCTGCTTCCCAGGAGCCAAGTGGTGTGCCCTATACTGGGTATCCAAGAAGGAACTGGTGGTGTTCACACTTACAAAGCTTTTTGTATCTTTCCAAATTTTAATAATTGTAATAAAACCTGGATTAGACTAGTAGAAAGTTTCAGTTTGGTTTTTTGTTTTTAATCCTGGAACTTTATTTAAAAACCCCTACCTGTAGAGATCTGTGTGCACACCACTGAGGCATATGAGCTGCCTTGTTACTAACTCCCATATGAGTAACTCCTGTATAATTTTTTTGTAGGGAGAAAGCAAAATGGGTTTACAACATCCATTTAGTACCCTGCTCAAATTAATCTGCATGAAGGTTGAAAATATGTATAGTTGAATATTCAAGTTTCAGTCTAGTTCTTTGACAGTGTTTTTGCAGAACACAAACCACTTAAAAGCAGCTTTGGTTTTAGGTTTTGGATTTCTTTGTTGCTCTTCCTCTGTTAGCAAGCCAGGCATCGCAGGATGGGGATAATACATGAAACTGAGAAAGCAGCTCGTTTCCTTGACCCCAGCCACTCAAGAACTAGGTGATATACTGAGCACAAAGGGGGAAAATCAAAGTCACAATCCTGTAAATATTTCTATAGATAGTTAGGTTAGACATAAAAATGGTTTTTAAACTTAGTCAAACTCCTTGCACATAAAATTAAGAATCTGTGTAAATATTTGCAGTCTGGAACCTATTTCAGGTTTCTAAAATATTTAAAGTCTTTTCTAAAATATTTTATTTTTTTAAAAAATGCTGCAAGGCCTCGTGCCACAACAAGATCTTGTTCAGAGAATGCAAATCCAGCTGCATGGTAACTCCTTCCTGCAGCAGCAGGCAAGATAACAGCTGGCTCATCGACCTGCAGGAGACTTTTGTCTACATGTTCGGGCTCTCTCTGGCAAGAGTTAAGTGTTCAGTTAGAGGGCAGGAGGCTTGGCTTTGGGTCACTGAACTCCAGGCTGCGGTTGTCTGATTCAGCTAATTCTTCCCTTCCAGACTTCTCAAGTAACTTCGAACAGATTGCTTAGACTCAGAGTGCCTGCGTGTCCCAGTAATAAAACAGGGTTAATTATGCAATCTTCCATCTCTTGCCTGGACTTCCCTAGTTGGTGTGCAGAAGTTAGTTTTACAGTGCTATTGTAAGATAAATAATTTGTGAGGTCCCTGGAAGTACAGATATTCTGCTACCTGGAATTGGGAAGGATTTCATTTTTGTAGGCTCTCAAAAGCTCAGCGTGTATCAGTCTTTGTCTTGAGAGCTGTGGTTTTTACTTATTTTATTAGCTCCTGGTGTGAAGGAAGTGATGTTATCCTAGCAACCTGCTGTCTTCATTTGGGCTTTCAGCGTATTTTCTGTGTGTGTGTGTGTGTATACATATATATTTTCTTAGTAGTAAGTGACTGAAAACATGTGCAAGCCAGCCATGTGCTGATGTTGCACTGACTCCAGCTCTCATCCACCCACCCACTTTCCTTCCTTCCTTCCTTGGAGAGCTGGCAAACAAATTACAGCCTCAACGTGTGTGCTGCTCAGGCAACGGCCCGCTGGGGAAATGGATGGGGGAGAACATTTGGATGCCAGATCAGTGTCTCATTAGGCATTTCTTAGTGTATTTTACAAGTCTGCAGACAAACAGTAGTTAAGACTCAGATGGAGAAAAATTTATATGCTCCCTGCAGGAAAGGGGGGGCTGGGGAGTCTGCTGGGGATTGCAGGGGTGTTGCTGCTGCACCCAGGCAAGTCCCACATGGCCATTCAAAGATTCAGTAACGTGTCTTAAAGCTAATGGGCGTGAGGGGGTCGGTCCCCCTCCTGATGACAGATTGCAAAATGCCTGATTAATTCATTGCTTTCTGCTTAGAGATAAGGTCCTGCACAAAATGTACGTATGTGGTACAAGTGTGAAATTGGGCTGAGTCTACCCCAAACCTACTCAATGAATGGTAATTTGCAGAGTCATGTGACTGAATCAGATGACTTCAAATGTGTTTTTAAGTGTGGGTTAAAGGAAACATTAAGCTTATGTTTCCTTGTTGCTGTCATTGCTGTTTTACCGTATTAGAGTCTTAATGGTAATGTTTTCCTTTCTTTTTCACAAACAAGATGACCTTGGCAGTTAATGACCTGCTTACAGTCTTTGGCACAGCTCTACCGGGGAGGGGGCGTTTGTCATATTTATTCAGTAATTTCATGTTACAGAAGGAGATGGTCAACACTGGCTGTGAGGAGGCAGCAAGTGAAGCAGCCTAAAGGGACCTCGAATCTAGGAGAAGGAAGAGGGTGCCCCCATTTCAGAGGGAGTTCCCCCCCTCAGTAGAGATGTAGAAGAATCTAGAATGCAGAAAACAGGATGCAGAAGCTGGGGGTCGGGAAAAGGCCATGATGTGGGCTGTTTTGGGGTGGGTCTGTGTGCAGCAGTGGTTGGCAGCAACAGCCCAGCTGCCTGGTGCTATGGAGGCAGGGAAGAGCAGCTGGTCCCTCACCAGCACACTTGGGTGCTTTTTGCTGGGCAGGTGGAAGCTGAATGGCTTGACTTCAGCAGAGGAAAACTTGCACCTCAGCACCCGTGTAACCACACAGTGGAGATCACTGCACAGCAACAGGGGACTGTTGGGGTGAGGAGGGCACATGGGCCAGCAGCCCTGCTACTGCCTCACCTGCCCTTCAGCAGAGAAGCAGTTAAGCATGGCTGTACATCTCCTATATATCAAAAAAGCCATAAATAAATGGTACCAGCCCTTCCTGACCCGCATCGCACTTGCTGGCCAAAGGAATGTTGAGTGTGCTTGGTCTCCACTTGGTGTCATGTTCTGCCCCTGAGTATTGCAGCTGTGGTGCTGCAGTCAGAAGCTTAATGAATAAAACCAAAACTCAAAACTCTTAGGTCTAAGTTTTGTGGTGGTGTTTTTTGGGAGGAGAGAGGGATAATGAGTTGTCCTTTTTTTAATCTGCAGTAACCATTCAGAGGGGTGTTACATGTGAACTACTGCGCTGGGAATGGTAAGAGGGTGCTTTGGAAAGAATTTCTGACTTTGGAGTGAACAATTTGCTTTTAAGTTTGGTTGGTTTTTTTTCAGTGGTGTTGACTGTGAGGGAGGCCCAGGCAGTGGTGGGCTCCTGTTAGGGTGCTCTGGCCACTGAGGGGACAGCAGGGAGGCTGCTACCACATGAACAGTAATTTTATTTATGTTGGTCTCCTTTCAAACTGTCACAGTCAACCTATTTTCCTTGGCACTTTGTAAATCATTATATAGGATTAGGCCTTTTACCAGCTTTTAAGAATTCTGCAGTCATTTTAAGGACTTTCTCCCTCCCTGGCTCAGCCAAGCGATTCCTATTCTTGCTGGTATTCCTCGCTATTTAAATAACGCCGGGCCTGATTAGGAGGAAATGGTCTTTGGAAGGCAACCGACATTTTCAAAAGCACTGTTCCACAAAGGAGACTTTGAACTGTGCTAAGGCTTTAAAAGTTAAATAATATTTTGAATGTTAGAGTTCTAATGTTTTCCTATTGTCATGGGAGACTTGGACTGAGTCCCAGAATTGTGGTTAACTTTGCCTCCACACTTAGGCCTTATTTATTACCACTGAGGAGATGAACTTTAGCTACTTCACCTCCTTTTTTTTTTTTTTTGTTAACTCTTAAAATTGAGACACCTTTTTTAATTTTTTTTTTAAAGAGCTTAAAGTTTGCTTAATTTTTTAACAGAGGGGTGAGGAGGATGAGCCCCCATCTCTTGTGGGCACCAGGGGCTGTGGCAAGGCTGCTGGTGCCCCAGGGCACCCCATGTCCCTCCCTCAGAGCCCTATGGTGAGGGTGTGAGGCTCCCTGCAGCACCTCTGGAATGAAAGCAGTGGAAGTAATTAAAAAAAGTCATGTGGAAGGATCAGAAGGAACGCCGTGTGCTCCTGAGGGGCGGGCGGCTGAGCTGCTCTCGCCGTGCGCTGGCGGCAGGGCTGGGCACAGCGGCTGTGGGGAGCTGGGCGGGTGAGAGCAGCCCTGTGTTCCCCTTACCAAGTGGAAAAGAAGAAAGGTCCCTTCTGACCCAAACCATTCCATTATTCTGTGAAGCCTGTGAGCTTCAGCAAGGGGTGGCTGAGGGGGCCTCTGACAGGGGATGCAGCTCACGTTTGTGGCTTTCACAAACAAGTCCATTTTCATACAGGGGCCTACTGCAGCCACAGTAAAGGACTGGTTTTGATAGAACAAGATTGTTTTAGGAAATAAAATTAATACTTGAAGGGCATTTATGCACTTACTAAGCTCTAGGAAAGAAAGCTGCATGAACTATGATAATAAAATTCGCCATGCTGTTACATGCTGGTCAAATCATGGCCTTCATTGTTAGGCATGGGTTTTTCCTGTCGTCATTCTCCCCTGGGGATTTATTTGGCATGAGGTATGATTTATTTGGCATCACGTAATCTGTGTGCGGTAGTCATGAACCCTTGCTTTGAGGACGTGGGGTCTGGGGCTGCTGTTGGTCGGTGCAGTCTCCCAGGGCCCATCTTCCATTACTGTGTACTTCCTGCCCGTTCCCAGGAGCCTAATTATTAATACAATAATATGTAATAATGTCTTATCAGAACAGATTACGTTAGTGTAACTTGCTTTTACCATAAGTCAGTGTACGTTAAAAGCATTTGTTGGTTTAGGTTGAAAGCTGGGTATGTTTCTCTGCTGAGTAAACGTTCCTTTCCAAATTCCTAAAGGACAGAAACCCCTTTATATTTAGCAATGTTCAGCATCTGCTAAAAGCAAAAGAAAGGTTTTGTAGCTGCATATTTTAGCCCAGGTAAAAAATGTAATAAACGAAGCACAAGGCAGAGGAAAGGGAAGAACCTAATCAGATGCTAGAGACTTCATGAATATTAAGTACTTTCCACTTAAGCAGTCTTTTTAATAATCTGAAACATTAATAGCAGTATGACTGCCTGCATCTACACCAGCTGTATAAGAGAGATAAAAGTCCCAGTTTAACGTGATTTTTATCAGCTTGCTCATGCTAGTGTTTAACCTATAGAAGAAGTTAATTTGCATGGTGAAAAAGAGTTTTCTAACAAACAGGACCGACTGTATGCACAAATAAATGCATAAATGTTGCTTGGTTCTTGATCTAGAAAATGATGGAGTAACTGATGGTAGTTTAAATACTTCAGGGTTTTTGTTCACTTCCCTCCAAAAGTATTCAACCTTAGTGCCTAAAGTTGTACTTAGTGATTCAAGAATAAACCTGTAAATGCATGTTGAACATTTTCTGGTAACTAATTATAGGAACTGTTTGTTCCCAAGTTAATGAATTTGCTATTAATTTCTTGCATTCAGTTTGTTACATGTATTGCAAAATGACGATTGTGGGGTTGTTTTGTTTTGTTTTTAAATATAAGCTGTGCCATTTAGTAAAAAGCTTTGGTTGTGACTGTCCTCTGAATTGCTTAAACTTATGCTCATTGCCGTCAGGAAGATACTTGGAAAGTTCTGCTTCCACAAACCAGTTTTATTTTCCTGAGTGGTTTGCTCGTTCTTTTGGATATCCCAAAAGGTAATGCTAATGAAGTATCTGCTATATTTGATGCCAGATGGCATGAAACTTTTATACATAATTAAGTGGATTATTAGATAGCCCTTAAGAAAACCCAAAACCACAACAACAGAAAACGCAACCCACACTAAACCTCCTGCTTCGGGCTTGTCTGTTCGATTTCCTGCTCAGAAGGGCTGGTCTGCTCTGCCCCTTCCTGACATTTCTGCTCCTGTTTGGGAGCTGCTGAAGTGTTTGCTGTACTGAAGAGAACCAGGACCCGTTTGATTTGCCCTTCACGTTTGCAGGTGTTATTGCAGCCGAACTGTCCCTCTGGCGTGTGTCAGGTGGGCAGTGTGGAGCACGGCTCTACCTCTAAACTTGTGAAACCAAGCGTAGTTAAGACTGGGATCCATTTTAGGTGGTACTATAATTAATGCAGGTAACACTTCTGTCCAGATGTGTTCGCTCTTTGCTTGGGGAGCAGAGCCTGGGAGTAGGATGCAGGCTGACTTCGTGCATGTTCCTCAGGAATGAATATGCTGTATGCCTCTGAAAGAGTGAACTGCAAGAAAACAAGGAAGAAGAAAAATGGAGCAACGTTTCCTACCACTTATTTGTGTGAGCTCTGGGCTGCATTACACATCTGGAAGCAGCTTGTTACTCTGTGCATTTGCTAGTGATTAGCTTTTTTTTCTGTAGTGCTTGTAATTTGAGATCTTGCTGTAGAGTTAGAGAGGAGTTTCTATACAAGCAGATACAATACTTTCTTCTGTAGCAGGTTTTTTAAAGCACTCATATTGATTGGTTTGAAAATCTACCACCTCTAATAACTCAAAATCATTTCTTATGAAACTCACAATCACTAAATTGCTGTTGTCAAGTTAAAAAAGGTAAATGGGAAAGGTAAATGGGAAAGGATCTTACTTCTTCAGCAGTTCTTATTTGTTCCATCTGATGTATTTCTCTTGTCACTACGCTGCAGACCTTGTCTGTCCAAATGAATAAACCACTGTTAATACAAGTGCTTGAAAATATTTTGTTCATGACCTTTGGAAAAGTTGAAGTTAAGAAATTAAAAATAGAGAAGGAAAACTGTATTTCTCTCTTGGAGTTTCATGGTTGTTTGTTTGTTTTTGTTGTTGGTTTTTGTTTGGTTGGTTTTGGGGTTTTTGGGGCAGGGGAGGAGGGAGAGAGAGATACGGAACCCTGAAACTATGACAGCATTTGTGTTCTCTTTCAAACCTTAGAAGTGACTAGAAGCATTCTCTGTTATGTGTCCTAGCCAGGCTTGCTAAAAGAAAAAACAAACAAACAAACAAAAAACCATCCAACCAACCAAAAAACCAAAAAAAAATAGTAGCTTTGGGAACTTCTGGAAGCAGATGCTGCATATTTCATGGAGATCCTTTCCCAACTGATATTGGAAATTTCAAATTATATATGTATTTTAAATATTTGGTTATGATTCAAGAAAGTCCCTACAAGCTTGATTTGTTGTATTGCATCGTTGTAGTATCTGTGATAATTATTTGTTTGTTTAAGTGAAGAAAGCTTTCTAGTATGAAAAGAACAGACCTAAAGTGGACTATCTGATGCAAAGAAAATATGTACTTTTTATGGTACCTGTAAAAACAATTTAAGTCTATATGGAAATATATTCTAAGTTATCTCTGCTCCCCACCACCAGCCACTGCCCTGGGGTGATATTTATCTAATGTCAATAGCAGGGATTTGGAAGTCTATGAGAGAACTGCTTTTTTGGGGGGAGTGGGGGGAACTGATGTCATTGTGTGTCTGTCTGTAGCTTTCTTGGCCCAAACGGTGAATATTAGTGCTGCCCTGTTTATTGCTCCATAATGTGTAAGCCCTTTTAGTTATGGACCAATAACTCATGGGTTACACAGTGGTGTCTGAGTGATTTGGAGCTCTCCTGGAGGGAAAATGGAGTGGCATGAAGCTGTGGTAACCATCTTTTGCCCTAGCATTTTCTGCATCAGCTGTGTAGCATTTTTAGTTATTGCTAAAATTTGTGGTAGGAAGCTGCCTGAAATGAAATGTGAGGAACTCTGTATAATAATAAAATCAATTGGACTGTTTCCCTAGTAATTCTGGAGACTGATGCATCATTAATGTTGGTAATACAGTGGCTGTCAGATCACAAACTTCTCAATAAATGTGCAGCTGGCAGGCTTTGATGGAAATTGGAGGCAAGCAGAGAATGAGATTTAGGGCTTTGATATATGGGGTGTCAGCCATGTGATGAAGTTTTTATCAATTTCTGTCACTTCTGTCTCTTATGTTCACTACATATGTGG